AAATAAATAAATAAATAAATAAATAAAATAAAAACAGAAAGGATTTGTCTACTTGGTGGCTTCAGAGTGAAAACATACACACAAGGACAAACCTGCTGCGCTAAATGTAGGATCGCTGTGGTTTATTCTAAAATAAAAATCAATTCCTAAAGATATTTGAGGGTAGAAATGCAAAGCAGTAACTGCGAATCAAATGTATGAAGACTGCTTAAGAGGATCAGGAGTCCTGGGGACAATGTCACCCTTCCCTCAATGCCCCCCTTCCTCATTTATCTTCAGTGCACACTTATGCAGAATGAAAACTAAGAATGCTCTCTGCCTAAGGCTGGCTGTGATGCTGACTGTGACAATGAATGACGGAGATGGACAGAAATTTCTCTTTGGATTTAACCCCTCTTCTGAGATTTCATTTCTATGCAAATCAAAACTGGGGGGCTTGGGACAAAAAGGAAGGCCTGTGATTTGCATGTTTGCTTTACTCAAGGATAAATCTAATTTCAAACTCTGCACCACTGAATACACGCAAACAGAAAAAATTCTGTTGGTAGGGCTGTGGGAAAAGCAGCAATATTCATAGACATTTAACTAATAAATATAGCTTTTTAAGAGGGGAGGGAAGAATTTGGCAATATCAATCAAAATTATAAAAGTCCACACTCTTTGAACTATAAGTACCATTTCTAGAGCTCTAGCCTACAAAAAATACTCACATTAAGTGTGTAAAAACATGTGTCCAAGATGTTTGTTGCAGCACTGTTATAACAGGATTAAAAGATGGAGAACTTATTAAAACACCATCCCACCAGTTCTGGTGGTGCACACCTGTAATCCCAGCACTCAGGAGCCTGAGGCAGGAGGATTGTTGTGAGTTTGGGGCCAGCCTGGGCTACCCAGTGAGTTTAAGGCCAGCCTGAACTACATAGCAAGACCTTGTTTTAAACCACCTTCCCAAATTTTTACATAACATCCCTACAATTGGTTTCAGCTGTTAAAGAGAATGAATCCAGACACCTTGTACCAAGAAGTATGAAAGTGCTCACAGATTAAAGAGGACACGCCAAAAGGTGCAGAACCAAGTGGATGGGACTTTCATTGCCAATATTTGGGATAACTTAAAAATAAAAGAGAATAAGAAAAAAAAGAGATCGATGCGGGAGAGAAGGTCAGGGAATGACTGGGAAAGAGACAAAGGAAACTTTTCGTGGTTGTGAATATGTATATTGATTGAATGGGCATTACATGACATATACATTTGTCAAAATGAATCAAATTGTACACTTAATATCTCCACATTTCACTGTGCATGAACCACACCTCCATATAGAAGTCTTAGTTTAAAAAAATAAGTAATGGATCATAACACAATGAAAAAAAGAAGAATCCATGAGTCCATAGCACATTTAAAAAAATATAAGAAAGGCTCTTCTTTAACTAAAAATGCCAACTAATAAATAGTAAATGTAAAAGGAATAATAGAATTAAAAAAACAGTATTTTGCAACCACCAATGTAATAACTGACTCAGCAAAGATCACCAATGATGCTAAAATAAAAAATTATTGGGGGCCAGGCATAGTGATGGATGCCTGCAATCTTAGTACTTGGGAGGCTGAGGCAGGAGGATCACCCACTGTGAGTTCGAGGCCAGCCTAGACTACTGTCTCAAAAAAACAAATAGTTCGATCCCCGGTACCAAAAAAACCCCCAAAAAACAAATAAACGTTATTGGGGAAAGAGAAGTTTCATCCCACAGAATATTTATTATTTATACAAAGGGAAAGATACCCTAATCTAGGGAGATATGATAGTTACTACCTTAAGCAAGGAATCAAACTTACCACCAATAAGTAGACAGACTTACTGTCCTGATTGTGATTTAATGGGAAGGACACAGTAACCCCAGTGTAGCATTCTTCCCAGTATAGTTAACCTAAATCTTATAGTGAGGGAACAATCAGAGAAATCTATGTTTGGAACATTTTACAAAAGGCTAGACTGGATTCTTCAAAACTTAATAGTATGAAAGGCCAAAAAAAAAAAAAATCAAGGGAACTGTGATAGATTAATGAGATTATGAGACATGACAACTAAATGCAATGCTTGAATCCTTACCGGATTGTGGATTTAAAAGAAACCACTATAAAGCACTTTGTGAGAACAATTAAGAAAATCTGATCTGCTAAAATCAGAGTGAATAATCTGCATAGCCAATACACACTAACAAAAAATATTTGGGGCCCAGGGATTTAGCTGAATGGTTTTGCCACCTGCTGTGCAAGCTCAAGGACCCGAGTTTGATTCCCGGTACCAGAAAAAAAAAAAAAAATGCAAATTTTGTCTACCAGGGGGAAAAACTCCAATTTTTCTTAATTGTATGTTTTTGTATATAGACAAATTAATGATGTTTTGTACTTTATATACTTGGTCCTATTTCCTGAACAAATATTAAGTCAAGCTGGGCATAATCTGAATTGGGCAAAGGAATCAGAAAGGAAAGAGAAAGGAAAAATCAAATGGTGGGGAAAGACCAATTAAAAAGGTACAATGTTATAGTTAGATAAAAATAAAAAGTTCTGGTGTGCTATTGCACAAATGGGTGACCACAGGTAATGATAATGTACTGCAAATTTCCAAAAGCTAGGAGAAAGACCTTTTAATGTTTTCACCATAAAAAAAAAATGCTAAATGTTTGAGGACATAGATATGTTTAACCACATTTGAATATTATACAATGTACATCAAAACATCAAATGGTACTCCATAAATATGTACTATTTTTATATTTTTAGTACCATTTTTAAAAAATAGATTTACATTTAAAGTGGAATGGAGCAGAAGAAAAGGAGTAGCACATATGTGTAGTTTGTTCCCATTTCTGAATAAAATAATCTATATATTAACTTAACATAAATACCACCAAAATCTCCTTTATCTAGTACATTTTTTTTCAATTATAAACTCTCATAGCTATATCCCTGACACTCATAATACTGTGTTTGTGAATGTTTCTTCCACCAGCCATTACGATTCATGAGATCAGGTGCCTTGTCTCATTTACTGGCACATAATGCACATTTTTTAATGAATGAATGGACGTATACATTCAGAACAAGCCTGTAAGGAGGTGGGTGAAGCCTGCACATGCTGGAGCAGATAGCAGGGCTGGGGAAGGAGGGCCAGAATCTTGGCAGGTAGGACAGAGTCAGAGGCTGATCGAGGAGTCTGGTTTTTCTAAGGCAGGTATGGGCAGCCACAATCCCATTCTGCATTGCATGTGGTTATTCACATCTCCTCCTACTCCTCTTTACTAGGCCAAGCTTTCACAGGGTGAGAAATGGATGTGTGCTGTCTTCATACCTCCTTCCCTCCTATGCTGCCTAGTAGAATGTCAAGTGGTTGGTTGACAATGCTTTGCTAAATGATGAACTACAAACCCTGAAGTAGGGTTGATTTATTGATCATGTTCTTCCCTATCAACCAGCTTAATCTTTGTTATAAAAGCTAAAAGCAAGCTGAGTGTACCAAAGTCGATACTTAACCTTATCTTTATTTTTTGGCTTGACTAGTCTGACTGGTTCTGCTTAGTTGCACTGTTTACCTATTCAGCTGTGAAAACCACAGCACTCTGCAATAACAGTGACCTTCTCAGCAGAGAGAAGGCCATGCATATTTTTTTATTTAGACTCCATGCTTGAAAAAGAAACAAGCAAATAAACTTCAAAATAGCTTTACCTTTCAATATCCCTAAAGTCATTCCCAATAATCCTTCCCATCGAAGGACACTTCACAGACATCACCTTCCTAAATTCTCATGATAATACCATGAGTAGATACTCTTACCCATTATGAAGTGACTTGACTATGTCCCAGAATGAAAGAGGCAGTCCTAGATTTCCCATAAATCCAACTCCAATGATTACGCTCTTACCCATTATTCTTAGTTGTCTCTCAAAGTCTACCAGCTGGAATTTGCAAATTACAGCCCATAGGCCAAATCAGCCTGCACCTGATTTTTTGGTTTTTTGTTTTTTTTAATTTACTGGAACACAACCACACTCATTTGTTTAGAGACAGTTTAGGCTGCTTTCACACTATAATAGCAGAGCTGAGAATCTATAACCCACAAATCCCATAATATTTGCTACCTGGCCCTTTACAAGATAAGTTTATCAACCCCTGTTCTATAAAATCTAAGCAGAGATCCTGAAACTTCAATCATGGGACAGGGTGATATCTACTCAAAACATAATGCTTTTCACGGAGCCCACAATGAAATAATCAGCAGTCCACAAAACAGACTTGGTGTTTCACTTTTAAACAAAGAAATAGCATCATTTCCTCACTGATACATGTTTCTAAACCAATTTCTTGGTTGTTACAAGGTTCCTATGTGCAGAAAGATTAGAGAAAATAATTTTATTATTTCCAAACTCATCACACTTCAGATGTAAGCACAGCCTTAACCAGAGAACATCAGATGAGCCTGAATTCTACGTCAGCCTCTGGGCACACAGGCAGCCAAACCAGGCTACACCTAGTTAAATGCCTGAGTAAAACTGGAAAACGTGTTTTGAGAATTATAGGTGGGTGGCTCAAGTTGAAAAGGCAGGGCAGTTATTTGACAAGGA